CCAACCATCATCATCATCATCATCATCATCATCATCATCATCATCATCATCATCTCCACTGGGAATATGCTAAATTATTTAATACTAAGAGTGCTTCAATAATTTATTAATAGCATTGCAATTGTTCTTCATTTCCATTTTAAATTTTAAATTATGTTTTTGTATGTGTTTTGTTTACCATGGCTATTTTAACTGATACAATGTTGTACAAATTTATTTTATTATTATCCACTGGGAATCCTTCACGATTTGGTAATATATAAATCTAACCTAATCTAATCAACCTAAGTCAATTCCTAAGGAGAAAATTATTTAGCCAATATTATATTTGTAAACATTAAATTTATAAATCCCTGCTGCATACATACTTCAATAAGTAAGAGAATAATAATACCATGTAGTGTAATGTAATGAAATCTGATCTGATCTAATCTAATCTAATCTAATCTAATCTAATCTAATCTAACCTATCTATTCATGCATCTACACAGTATATCATTCAATATACTCCACACCCAACTCCCAAGGATTATACTTGCAGCTTGGAAGCAAGGCAGAAGTACCATTTAGAATGAGTCTTGAACAGCAAGGACATATTCAAGAGGGTGTCTTCTGCAGATCTTAATAGCCAGACAGGTTTGTTTCTACTTTATGCATATGTAGAAAGACCTAGGTTGAGTGTCTTCATTTCCAAATATATCTGGAAAACTTCTGGCCTTAAATTCTGGACAGCTGCCACCAATACTGAGTTAAGTGGACTTTCTGAGACACACTCTTCTCCCAAGTCCTCATGTTAGATTTTCCCTCTCACCAAAAGCTGATCCAAAAGTATTAAAAAAGAAGCACAATTCTTAGTACTCCTGTTATTCATGTGATATGACTATTCATGGGCTGTATTTGCTTGCCTGACATCTTTTGTATGACTACTGGGGATGTGATGGAAGGCATGAGTGAGGAGGATCTTGGAATGGAGCTTCAAGGTTACAGGGAGGGGGAGAGGCATCCCAAGCATTCCCTCAGCCCCCAGCTGTTGTTGGGGGTTAGAGTTAGTCTGGCAAGATTCTGTCTAATAGGTGTAAGCTAATA